GTGATCAAGAGCCATTATGGCTCTTAAAAAATGTGATCGAAGACGATTGCCAGTTTTTGGGTGTACAAATGAGGCCATCAACTCGATGTAAGATTTGGTTCACTCTGGGGTTGTTTGCAAATTATTTTTGTCTAAAATCACTTAGCCTTTCCCTGAAAAGTCACATGAATGTGCTCTAAACTGAATTGTGGAATACAAGTTTATTGTTTGATTTAAATTATAAATTTATTAATGCATGGGAGCCTCGCTTTTAGCCCTGGCTAAATCTATATACTAATGTTATCAGAGATGTTTTAAGCATGAACAGCGGTTTGTTTGTTTTTTGCTGTTGTTATTATTTTTTTTTCAATCAAGGTTTACAATTCTAGCGTAGCGCGAGAGAATTTGAGACTTGACAAAACACATGCTCTGAGTGTTTTGAAAATTTTTAAAAGCTGTTTCCAGTATATTTCCAAAAGTCGAATTTTTCAGGAGAGGGTACGAACCAGGTGATAATTTAATTGGGTTGACCTAAATTAAGTTAAGTTCGTCTGTTGGATCAGAAGCCGAATTGGACCGAACTAACCGTGAGAGTCAACCAATCACACTTCATATAATGTGCATGGCCAGCAAGTTTTCAAGACGACAGTTTGTCCCTGCAAACAGCTGTATGCGAATGGTCGAGTCATTATTTTCCTCGTAAATTTATTTGGTTATTTCGTAGAAAATTTCTCAAAATTCTGATTTGTCTTGAAAAGCCCATAGATTTTTTAAGAAGCATTTAGGTGTTAGCACCTAGTGCTATAAAGTCAAAAATTGATCAGGCTTGTATAAAATCGCCTATTTGAAATGTACACAGAAATCCCAAAAATGATGCGTTTTTGTTTAGGAGAAGCGGAGACAATAGAGGATAAAGTTGGTATCGAAGGGCCTGTTTACATGGAAGTTGGGGACCCCAGGTAGGTGAAGTAACCCGCTTTGGTGGGTAACCCGGCTGTCCACATAATCTCTCATTTTAATTTGATCACGAATACATGATAGGTGGGGTGACCCGCCGCATGTCACCTAACCTATCTGGGGTCCCCCACCTCCATGTAAACAGGCCCTAAGAGCACCATTCTGAAAATATTGATAATAACAGAGCTGAAAGTCGACCCGATACTTTCCGTCAATGAAATTTTCACAACTATTGCGTTTCGAATTTCCGGGATGGAAATGTTATTTATCCTATTAGCTATTTAACTAATTAATAAGTCACGTGAGCCTTTTTCCTTTATTTACCGATTCCTATATAACGTAAACACACGTACAAGGCGAATTTATACGAACCTTTTTAACAGCCCCTGAAATGTACCTAAAAGAACTTGTTGCTCTTTCATTATCCTTTCCCCATTTTAGAGTAAATAATTTGACCGTTAATTCTCAATTATCAGTCACGTGACGAGAATTTGAGCTTCTAAAATGCACTCATATTGCTAAGGCCATTAAGCTACATTTGTAGTTCAGTTTTTAGGATCATTGATAGAAGCAAACCGTTCTAAATAGCATTTTATCAAAATATGCATATTTAATTCGATAGTCATGTCTTAAGTGGCCTGAGTAGCCAGCAAGTTTTCAAGACGACAGTTTGTCCCTGCAAACAGCTGTATGCGATTGGTCGAGTCACTATTTTCCTCGTAAATTTATTTGGTTATTTCGTAGAAAATTTCTCAAAATTCTGATTTGTCTTGAAAAGCCCTTATATTTTTCTAAGAAGCATTTAGGTGTTAGCACCTAGTGCTATAAAGTCAAAAATTGATCAGGCTTGTATGAAATCGCCTATTTGAAATGTACAAAGAAATCCCAAAAATGATGCGTTTAAGTTTAGTAGAAGCGGAGACAATAGAGGATAAAGTTGGTATGTAAGAGCACCATTCTGAAAATATTGATAATAACAGAGCTGAAAGTCGACGCGATACTTTCCGGCAATGAAATTTTTACAACTATTGCGTTTTGAATTTCAAGTAAGCTATAGAAAATTATAGCAAAATTGACTTACTACCGAAACTGGTAGACTGCGATTTTAAAGACACGCGTGGCGGTTGATTATCGTGCCAGACTTTAACCAATCGATTTAGGTCCCTTGGCGCTGTTTGTCAACCCACGGGGTTACACATGTAAAGTGCCGAATAGAGTACTGTACCAAAAAGAGTACGACGCATAAATTATGACAAACTATTAAATTCCCGAGTCGATGCGATGACAACTCATGACATGATGAGGACGGAAACCACTCAAATGAGTAAAAAAATTAGACGACCCTGGATGATTGCAAGAATTAAACGCCTCAACTCCTTAAAGTGAGATGTTTTGTTTATTCATTTACTTGTTTCAGTAAATACATTTCATGACTGGTTTCAACGAACATCCATCCTATTCCCCTGATTCTTTGTAACGCATAAAGCACTACAATGACATTTGATAACATGTTCACCCGCGGTGTGTGTAAGAAGAAATTTAACACGGCATCCAACTAGGCCAAATTTTAACGTCTGTCACACATTCTCTGTTACGCCGCCGTGCTTTATGCCAAACAAAATGAAGGCTATCTCAGAATGCGTAAATTTTTAATACAAATTAATTTCTACTTTGTTATAAAGATATGGCAAATGCGAAATGTAAGTACACAGAACAGGAAAAATTATTTTTTCCTTTTCTTTTTCAATTTCACTTCAGCAATTACGCAATCTTTCATAACGCGATTTACGTGCATGCCAAATGTAGTACAAGATGGAGAATGTGTCTACCCAGTTAAATTTTTATATCAAACTGATAAAAAGAAAAATGCGTGTTCTAAAGTAACTTTTCTGCTACGTGCGTCATAGCGCGTAGCGAGCTGTAAAATGCTGTAAATTAACTTTTCTATGCCCTGATTTAAGGAAAATTGCACGTTCTTTACCCCTAACATGATGCGTGCCAAATAGAGTACGAGAGAGAAAATAATGTAACTTAAATATTCCTAACCTGATGTAAGGAAAACTGTACGCTCTTTACCCCTAACATGATGCGTGTCGAATAGAGTACGAGAAAGAAAATGCTATAACTTAACTTTCCTACCCTGATGTAAGGAAAACTGTACGCTCTTTACCCCTAACATACAGCGTGCCGAACAAAGTGCGAGAGAGAAAATGCTGTAACTTAACTATTCCTAACCTTATGCAAAGAAAACTGTACGCTATTTACCCCTAACATGAAGCATGCCGAATAGAGTACGAGGGAGAAAATGCTCTAACTAAACTTTCCTACCCTGTAAAGAAAACTACGTACGTTCTCTAACCCTAACATACAGCGTACCGAATAGAGTACGAGAGCGAAAATGCTGTAACTTAACTTTCCTACCCTGTAATTAAAGAAAACTGTACGCTATTTACCCCTAATATGAAGCGTACCGAATAGAGTACGATGGAGAAAATGCTCTAACATAACTTTCCTACCCTGTAAAGAAAACTGTACGCTCTCTACCCCTAACATTCAGCGTGCCGAATAGAGTACGAGAGCGAAAATGCTGTAACTTAACTTCCCAACCCTGATGTAAGGAAAACTGCACGCTCTCTACCCCTAACATACAGCGTGCCAGTAGTGGATAAGGCACCGGTTACTCCTTTTTTTTGCGGATTTAATTAACTTTTTGTGCGGTATAAATTAAAATAGATGACGTCATGCATCTCATTAAGATAGGATGATGTCATAGTTTAAATTAATGCCGATGACGTCATGCATGCTATTAAGATAGGATGATGTCATAGTTTATTTTTAGCTGGCTGACGTCATGCATGTCATTTAGATAGGATGATGTCATAGTTTATTTGTAGCTGGCAAGGAGCAAGTGACGTCAGAATTTCCTAGAGTGGACGCCATCAAAAAATGTTGAGATCATGATCTATAAACAGAAAAGTGATTTTTATATAATTAGCTATTTGCTAAAGTCTTCTGATTAGATATTGTTTGCTATAGTCTTCTGATTGGATATTGTAGAAACTGTTATGTGTTCAAAATAAAAGCGGGCAATTTTTGAACGTGTTATCTTTGCAGATTATACTAAATGAAAAATCTTTAATCATTAAATTATGTTCCCTAAAAATCGGTTATAAACAAAACTAAGACACGGAGGTTAACTGAAAAATCTTTACTTCAAAAGAAGCGAAAAGGGGGTTAAGCGAATGCGAAATCGTACTAATTCTTCTGGCATAACATGAAAAAGAGCTCGAAGCTCAGCGAAGCGAAAAACTGCCTATCAAGCAAAAATGTAAATTTTGGTTTACAGTATTGCACAGGGTATCAAAATTCTATAGAAAACAACAGGTGGTTCTAAAGTAAACCCTAGCTCTTTTGGTTCTTAAATAAACCCACTTCTTGTTCCTAATGAGTGGAAAGTCTATTTATAAAAATAGGAATAAGAGGTGCGATCGCCTAGCAACACATGTCTTCTTGTTTAGCGCTAAAAATCGTATATATAAACAATACACACACACACACACACATACACAGAGTGGAGCTGAAAACTCTCTATTTCAATTTTGACTCACCATTACGAAAGCGTTTTATCCGTTCTATCTGGAGGAAACGACTAACTATTGAAATCTCAGCGCTTGATGAGCTTATGGTCTTGTCAATTCAAGGGCGGTTAGTCAGTTAATTATGCGGGTAACAAGCCCAAACTTTAATACAAATTAGTTCATCTCTACAGCTAGACCCAAGGGAGCACCTTGACTTATTATTGTAAAAACACAAACAATTAATAACTTAACAAGGATCAATTTAAACACGCGACAAATAAATTGACAAGACACGAGATACAGTTTTAAAAACTTTATTGAAAACCAGTGACAAAAAGAGTCGAACACAGAGCGATTTGGAAGGGATGGAAATTAATCATCTTCTTTGCCCATGGAGTACTTGTAAGGTCTAACTCGACATTTCTTATGCCGATTTCGTTTCCTCTGTTTGCCATGAGCATTATGATCATCCAAATAATTTACAAATTGAATCCGACGTCTTTTGCGCTTCTGGCCTTGTGATGGGGTTTCTACTGTGGGAGGAGGGGTCAGGAAAGCAGGATTTAAGGTTAGTGGTTGGGTGGAGCTTTCGTTTTCAGGTTTTTGTAAGATAGTCGCTTGTGTTGGTTTAGGTGTTACGTTGAAGGGGTTAATGGGAGTGGAGAATGCTGCCGTTGCTGTCGAAGAATCTTGTGTGCTTGATGTTAAGTCTGGAACAGTGCTTTCTTCCGGTCGTGTTCTTGTATTTAATTGTTCTTTAAAAGCCAGATATCTGTTTTGCAACTGAAAGTATCTCTTAGCTTTTTCATCGCCCCGAAGATCGTTTCGAGAAAGCAAGTCATCCATGTTGACCTGTATTTCTTGCATAGCTGGAAGAAGTGGGACAGGCGAAGGATTTTGCTGCTTTAGATATTTTAAAAGCTCTTGAGAAATATTTTCTTGAAACCCTGGTTGGTTAAAACCCTCTTCACTGGGCAGGACGTTTGTTCGCAGTCGACAATTATCTTGGGTAGTAGTTTTCAGGTCAATCAGCAGATAACCAAAAGGTCTTTTTAGAGCCTCCTCGTACTGATTTAAAAAGAAATCAGTTTGCCCGGGCTACATTTGCTTGGCAAGAGTCAAGATTTGCAATTTGTCTCGTGGGTTCTTGAATAACACCAAATAATGGCTCTTTAGGCTTATGCTGCGACTGCCTTTCTCCTGGTGAGATAGATTCTGCACGATATAAATCACGCTTAGATTGCGATGATGAGAACCACGAGTAAAGAGGTTCACAGTTCGCTTGTCTTTACTGGCGTCAATCCTTTGATCATCAAACACGAGCAAATTCCGTTTGTTCACATCAAAATAGGAATCCTGCTCCAAAGCCGTGGGAATTCCCTTGACGAATTCAATGTGTGGCATGGCGACTAGCATTTCTGTATACGCAGGCTGCCATTGTGAATAACACCAAACAATCCTCTCCGGGGGAGGGTAAATTGTCTCTGAAGCTTGTTGCAATAGAGATCGAACCCAGGCCGTTTTTCCTGAGCCGGTCATTCCAGCAATCATGGAGGTAAAAGGATGCTCGAATCGAAACCGCTGACATTTCTTTGAAAACGGAACTGTTTGAAATGGTGTGAGACCAACATTGTGGTGTTTAGACATCACGTGCCTTTGCATGTTATCCTTTCTACTAAATGATTTTTCGCAAACGGAACAGAACCAACTCATGTCAGCTCCTCAGGAGCAGAATGTAGACTGAGAAAATGCTAGCATAATGCGCATTGATATAGTTTTGAAGGCTATAAAATTCAATAGTTTTCCTCCACCACCACCACTTTCCTATTGTGTTCCTCCACCACCGCCACCACCACATTTCTATTGTTTTCCCTCCACCACCCCCACCACCACCACCACCACATTTCTATTGTTTTCCCTCCACGACCACCACCACCGCCGCCACCACATTTCTATTGTTTTCCCTCCACCACCACCACCACCACCACCGCCACCACATTTCTATCGTTTTTTCCCCACGACAGTCAATAAAAGACTGCAAACTACTATAATAAGTTCAGTTTGTCGCAATGTTTTAAGTTGTCAAGAACAATCGTGGTTTTCTTCAATTCTTAGCTGTTTGTCCAGCTCATCAGCGACAGTTTCTTTTACGGACAGCCAGTCCACAACAACTACATGCATTAGTCCAAGTCTTATACAATATACTTAAGGAATACATTCTTATCCCCGAAGAAAATAAGCGGAACGTGTTTCCATATAAGGATGCTCTAGTAAACCTAGCAGAAACAAATGTCCCTTACAAAACAAGGAAGCGAATCCTTGTACAAGAGGGCGATGGTTGTATTCAAGACCTATTGGTACCTGCTGTTACAAGCCTAGGATTTTTGATGCTATAAAAGAAGCTAAAAGAGGAAACGAAACTATAAGTTACTCATTTGAAGCTACGGTCCGTCACGGGTACTCATCAAAATGAAGAGAAAGATAGATTTGGTTGAAGAAGAACACGAGAATGAACATGAAGAAAGCGAAAGTTCTGGTGATGAAAGCGAGGATGAAGAACCAAGAATAAAAGATGTTTTGAGTCATCTTTCCCGAGCAGCGTCGGAAAAGCGTGCTTCTGATTTGCTGCATAGTATGGCCGAGTCCAAAGATATTCTTTTCTGGACTCCCAGCGGACAATTACTTCGAAATAAACGCACTATTCCCGTCACAAACATCGCCGAGCTAGTTGAGTATGTGTTACTCCCTCATAACAATGAGGTTACCAAGCCTCGTGCGCTGAATACGTTTCTAGATGGCCTTGCAGGGTTAGGAATCGATAAAGGTTTAATCAAGAACAAAAAGTTGTTAAGTGATTTAATAGAAAAGGAAAAAGGCTACCGAAATGTAGAAAATACTTCCGATAATGAGAGTAATAATAAGGAGAGTTCATCGGATATTAAAAATCAGGAGGAGGAGGAGGAGGTGGCTTCTGAGAATGGCGTTGAAACTGAAGGCACCTAAGAGAGCGACAACGACACTGAAAACGATAGTGAGGAAACAGAAAGTAGTAGCCCTGAAACGTCCACCACCTTTTACTCTAAAAGTCCCTGTGAACATTGCGAAAACTCTAATGTGTACTCCACATTGATCATGAAATGTCCTAAATGCTTTTGGCACGATAACTACAAGATTTGTCCTATATGCGATCACCAGATCCCCGAGGAGAGAAAATACATCAAAGAGGGCTTTCTTCGGTGTCCCGATTGTGGATTAATTACACACAAAAACGCCAAGACGTTGGAAACCAATTTTTATTCACCTTGTAAAGAGGAGAACGAAGAAGAGGTCTAATTTCCATCCCTTCCAAATCGCTGTGTGTTCGACTCTTTTTGTCACTGGTTTTCAATAAAGTTTTTAAAACTGTATCTCGTGTCTTGTCAATTTATTTGTCGCGTGTTTAAATTGATCCTTGTTAAGTTATTAATTGTTTGTGTTTTTACAATAATAAGTCAAGGTGCTCCCTTGGGTCTAGCTGTAGAGATGAACTAATTTGTATTAAAGTTTGGGCTTGTTAACCCGCATAATTAACTGACTAACGGCGCTTGAATTGACAAGACCATAGGCTCATCAAGCGCTGAGAATTCAATAGTTAGTCGTTTCCTCGAGATAGAACGGATAAAAAGCTTCCGTAACGGTGAGTCAAAATTGAAATAGAGAGTTTTCAGCTCCACTCTGTGTATGTGTGTGTGTGTGTGTGTTGTATATATATACGATTTTTAGCGCTAAACAAGAAGACATGTGTTGCTAGGCGATCGCACCTCTTATTCCTATTTTTATAAATAGACTTTCCACTCATTAGGAACAAGAATGGGGTTTATTTAAGAACCAAAAGAGCTAGGGTTTACTTTAGAACCACCTGTTGTTTTCTATAGAATTTTCATACCCTATGCAATACTGTAAACAAAGATTGACATTTTTGCTTGATAGGCAGTTTTTCGCTTCGCTGAGCTTCGACCACGTTTTCATGTTTTGCCTGAAAAATTAGTACGATTTCGCATTCGCTTAACCCCCTTTTTGCTTCTTTTGAAGTAAAGATTTTTCAGTTAACCTCCGTGTCTAAGTTTTGTTTAAAACCGATTTTTAGTGAAAACAATTTAATGATTAAAGATTTTTCATTTAG